AATGATTTCGAACGCTTCCCATTTAATTTACATTGCTGTCAGTCAAATTCGAATCATGTTTCGTATGCGAAATTTTTCAAGAATTGGGGGCCTGATGGCCGATAAGGTACTCTTTTTTCCATGAGCACGGTTGTCTCAGGAAGATGGCAGTTTTCAGCCCAGGACCGACCTTTCAGCTCGAACGGCAAAATTTAAAAGGGGCAAGAAACGAAACGGACAAGATGAACAGACGGAGCTTCCTCTCAAAAAAAAGTTAACGGAAAGCGTTGGTACTAAACTGGTACTTCAAATTTAAACGAAAATCGTGCCCATTAGTTCAATAATTACTAAATGCTAATATTACTAGCAGCAGAAACCTTTTTTTTTTTAATGCCAGTCAACAGACTGTCAACATTAATAGTACAGTAAATAGAGACAAATAAATCGCATTTACTAAAAAATAGCTATTTATATAACAAGTACATAAAGTAAGGCTTTATTGTACGAATAATTTTATGGCCGAGCGAGCTTGCGAGCGAGGCTATTAAATAATGAGTCAATAAAGCCTGTTTATGTAAGCGTTATATACATGATTGCGACTGATTTTTGTTAAAAATTTAAAAAATTTAATGAAAAAATTAAAATTCGCGTAGGTATATCTGTTTCACCTTGGCAGGTTGTCAGGACCTGTTTCAACTTGGCAAGTTGTCAGGACCTGTTTCACCTTGTTAGGTTGTCCAGGTAGGCAATAAAGTAGCACTTTATTGTACTAGATAAAGTGCTACTTTATTGACGCAAAACTGTTCTATAAATAGCACTTTATTGGTCAATCGGACATAAAAATACTTAATGGCTGAAATTTTGAGGGTGTGTTCGGGGGCATGTCCTGAGTCTAAAACTGAGTTTTCGTATTCGAGGGGGTGGGGGGAGATACTACCACCTCTTTATGTAGGATTGAGTTCGTTTTAATTCCTTATCTTCGGTGCTATTGCCCGTACCGTCAAGTCCGAGGGATCAAATTTGTGGGAAATAAAATTATCTATCTAATGATAATAAAATCAAGGTCATAGGGCGATTAGGTGAATCACAATGGCCGGTCAAAGGTCAAAAGTAGGGGGTAGTTTTTGGTTTTTCGTGAATACCGTGAAACCGGTAGGTTTTTTCGCATACTGCTTCGATGCCATTTCGAAATACTTGAAATTACCTACAAAATTAGTGCTCAAGCACTCATCTACTGTGAATAGTTTGCCGTCAATCCAACGACCAAGTTGACCGCGCGAGCCAATGTTGTACAGGGTGCTGCAATTTGGAGTGTTTCAACAGGAAAACCGTACTTCCAGACCAGATAGAGGAAAATTGACTTAGATGTCATGGGATCGATTTTCGAGAAACGTCGATTGTCAAAAACCGTATCGCGATATCTTCAGTGGTACCATTATTACAGGGCGATTTTCGATTTTCCCCTATTATGAAAAATGGATATAAGTTTTTTATTTATCCATTTTTTTCTATTTCTGTAAGAACATTATGGAGTCACTTTTTTGAGCACAATCCAGTGGCGGACTCGATTTTTTTCGATATCGCTCCGATTTCGAGATATCGACCAAATTCCGATATTTTCAAATGAAACTACCTACATATTAATAGCTCATTGGATAGCTCTGTTTTTGCTGATTTTAATGATATAAAGGTCGATAGGTTTATCTCTAATAGTTTTCGAGAAAAAAAATTATATCTGTTTTTGTCATAAGGACCAATGTGTTAGAAAAGGATTTTATATGTGTAAGGAAAGTGAGAAAGGTCTCTTTCTAACACATTGTTTCTTATGACTGAAACAGATATAATTTTTTTTCTGGAAAACTGTTAGAGATAAACCTATCGAACTTTATATCATTGAAATCAGCAAAAACAGAGCTATCCAATGAGCTATTAATATAAAGGATGTTTCATTTGAAAATATCGGAATTTGGTCGATATCTCGAAATCGGAGCGATATAGGAAAAAACCGAGTCCGCCACTGGATTGTGCTCAAAAAAGTGTCTCCATAATGTTTTTACAGAAATGAAAAAAATTGATAAATAAAAAACTTATAGCAATTTTTCATAATAGGGGAAAATCGAAAATCGCCCTGTATTAATGGTACCATTGAAGATATCGCGATACGGTTTTTGACAATCGACGTTTCTCGAAAATCGATCCCATGACATCTAAGTCAATTTTCCTCTATCTGGTCTGGAAGTGTGTTTTTCCTGTTAAAACACTCCAAATTGCAGCACCCTGTATTTGCCGATAAGCTAGAAAGTTGAAATTTTCAGGGGACTTAGAATTTTTAATTTTGTCGAGCAAAAACAAATTTAATTCCCCCCCCCCCCCTCTAACCCTGGGAAACCCTGGGGGGGCTGTCAAAGTTTTGACTTTCGACCCCTGTACAGCCCAAACGGGTGGGGAGGGGAGGAGCGGACATGAAATTTTCAGGGGAAGTAGAGAAATAGTTCCTCTATCGAATGGATGGGGGGCGAATTTTTAAAAAAATTTGGAGGGGGGGAAAAACATGAAAAACGCAATATCTCGAGAACTTTGCAATCTAAATATGACGTCCCAAGGGCTTTGGGCTGATTTGGATGAAATTTAAAGTGTAGGTAAAAGGGGTCTAAAAAAGGTTTAATTTCAAGTTTCAGCTCTCTACGACATATAGGAAAGGTTTTAGCCCCTATCTCCCAATTTTGAGAAAGGGCGTAGAATGGGGTATACGCGTTTTGCATTTATTTTCACGAATTTTGAAAAATTAAAATTTTAATCGGATAGAGGAGGAAAAAATACGTCGAAAATGTCTCTAGGCGTTTTTTGCTCTGACGCTTCCTAAGCGCGCGGTCGTTGGATTGACGGCAAACTATTCACAGTAGATGAGTGTTTGAGCACTCATTTTGTAGGTTATTTCTAGTATTTCAAAATGGTATCGAAGCAGTATGCGATAAAACCTACCGGTTTCACGGTATTCACGAAAAACCAAAAAATACCCCCCACTTTTGACCTTTGACTGGCCATTGTGATTCACCTAATCATCCTATGACCTTGATTTTATCATCATTAGATAGATAATTTATTTCCCACAAATTTGATCTCTCGGACTTGACGGCACGGGCAATAGCACCGAAGATAAGGAATTAAAACGAACTCAACCCTACATAAAGAGGGGGTAGTATCTTCCCCCACCTCCTCGAATACGAAAACTCAGTTTTAGACTCAGGACATGTCTCCGAACACACCCTCAAAATTTCAGCCATTAAGTATTTTTTTTTAGTAAAATATCCCTATTTACTGTACTATAAAGGTACCTAATATAAAATTATATTTGAAAGAAAAAAGAACAAGTAACATTTGCAATGTTACAGTTATCAAAAGAGGTTGCATTTAGGTTGGTCTTGTGGCCTCAATATCGATATTTCATTCCCCTCCGTCTTTCATAAGAATTTCTGGTTGGAATCAATTCACAAGATTATTTTGTTAGGAACCTATCTAGCAGTCAACTGCACTTAAGTATGGTAACTACGGTTTCGAGGATGGAAATTATCCATAACTTCCATTTGAACAATTTGATTGTAAGTTGCTTGCGTAGAAACAACTCTCTTTAATACGCTCATTTTAGAACTACACCTATTAAAGGGATGATGTGGGCTGGGCTATAAGGTAGAGTAGAGTATAAGTTTAAAGCTAAAAGTCATTTAGTTGGTTAGATATATTTCAACAAGTACTGTCCTATATATAACCTATACATTCAGGAGGTTACTTATCTTGTCTGTATACTTCGGATATTATCGTGGTTAATATCAAATTTGGCAATGTTGAAGGAAGTGCCGCTTAATAAAATATGTAAAATGCAAATCAATTTTAATTAGTTTCTAATCTGAATATGTTTTCATTATTACCGATGTTTAATTAAACACCAAAAATACGCTGGGTAATACTGTAATTATTTCTAGATAAATATGCCGTTATTCGAGGCATTTTCCGAATTGATAAAGTCATAACTTTCAATTTAAATGGACGCTCTATTGTTTGAATATAAACTAAATTATTTGAGTTAAAAATGATTTGTTTCAGTTTTCAACACAAAATATTTTGATATCACGTAGGTATACTACGTTGACAGGTGGACGATTTTTCTTAAATTACAGGCAAGTACTTAACGCATTTTTTCAGAAAACTAGAGAAAGATTTTTTTACGGAAAAGCACAAGTTGAAAAAGACAAGTAGAAAGTATTTGTTTTTTAATATCAAAAATTTTTTTGGTTTTATTTTTTTTTTCTCCAAAAAATCAAATTTTATCATACTGACTGAGATGGATTTGCTTTGCTATGTAATATTTCGACGAGATGGAGCCACATGATATAATAGGTTAATTTCTATCTTATCCCTCCTGTAAACTCTAAGTTGGTATGCTTTCGCTCAAGTTGCACTGACGAGAGCTAACAAATTCGAAATCGGCATGCTGTTAGTGTAGCATTCAATGATTGAGAAGTAGGTTATTCTCCGAAAGAAACCATTTATTGTTAATAATAATAACTCATATGGTGACCAGTTGGTCAGGGTCAATTTATACAATGCGTGCGGTTTTACTCTACACTGTGAAAAAAATTTACTAATAAGATTTTGATTTTTTTTTAATCAAATTTTTACAAAAGGTTGAAATATAAATTCAAATAGGTAAACATGTAACAAATAAATAATATCCTGAATTTTCAATTGATGCCATGTCTTCGAAAATAAAATTCTAAAAATTACAGTTTTTTGAACATCGACAATATCGAAATCAAAGTTATAATTCTCAAACTACGGTCCGAATACGCAATTCAATTTCAACAGTTAATTGAACAGAAGAACCTAGTGGAGAGGAACTTGCTCCACATTTAAGGCCGATTTAAACATACAACCAACGTTATAATTTCATTCCTTCGTGTGAAAATAAAATGTATCGTAGGATCTAATAGGTACATTATTCTATCTACATTCATCGTTTTCAGTTATTCCGTCCAAAGCCAGACTTACCACAAGAGCTTAATGATTTTTTAACGGATGTCCAGGAACACAAAAAAGACTTTGCCTTTATCAGAAACGTCGCAAGAAATCAAAGAAAACATGAACAACGATTAAGAGAGAACCATAGATTGTTTAAAGAAGATAGCCAAGTAAGTATCTATGCTTATAGGCTGGGTTTTGAATTGAATGCAAATAGTGAAAAAATATGATAACATTGTTCCTATAAACAATTTGTGCATGTGATTTCAGGAAAACTTGATTACGGAAAATCCCTTTGATGACAAAAACCACTTCGACAATTTGCAATCTAAGCAGCATTTTTCCAATGATATTCTTGGATATGACAAGCCAACATATTCAGATGAAAAGTAAGCTTGCACATATCAAATTAACTATTACTACTATTTTTTAATTGTTTAGATATAGTAAATTTATCCACAGTCCAGTAAGATTACCTAGAAATATGGAAGATAATTATCTAGACCAGCACGTGCAACTTCATTCCAATGCAGTTAATGGGAATATTAAAAGATCCGGTCAAAAATATCCCAATAATATGGTTCATACTGAACAGAAAAATAAATATCATACTGGTTACATCGTGGGTATGAATGAGGACGATGGATATATAGATAAAAATACAGGTTTAAAAGAAAAAAGAGAAGTGAAGAAAAAGAAAAGGGAGGTTGAAATAAATATTAAGGTACAATATTCTTTGATCATATCAAACTCCCATTTTTTTTTTGTATATTTCAGACGGATGGTAAGTTAGTAAAACACGTCGAAGAAGATCAGAACGGTCCAAAATCTATTGTACTTACTATTAAATCTGACAATGATAATTCAAAATTAGAAAGCCCCGAAGCAACTACAGAATGTCCAGATATTAATATCACTCCATCGTTAGAGCAATCCAATCATATTTTAAAAAACGAGAATCCAGATTTAGGACCTAGCAACAGTAAAACAATCCCTAGCTTAACAGCGATTAAAAAAGTGGGCGTACCCTTAAGTTCAGTATTAGAACAACAGGACATTAACAACCGAAAGAAAATACATGAAATGTCCAATTATCAGGATTTAAAATTAAAATTGAAATTAAATAAACATAATGAATTTAGACCCAAGTTGAATTCTGAGGACATAGAACAACCAGAAACAAATAATCCAAATTTTGATCAAGGCATTGATATCGCTCAAAGTAATATGAACAGTTTCGAAAATATCGAAGAAAAGCCTTTATTTTTATTCGGTAATGTAACACAAAGCACAAAAATCTTTATTCACTAAAACATGTTTGAAGGACCAGATTTAGACATGGACAAGCAACACAATAAAAACCAATTCGAGACGGTTCAAAGCTTAGTACTTGAGAATACCGTTGTTACCACTGATGGTAGCCAAATCCCTATTGAGACGCAGTCTGGAATTAAAAAGAAAAGAAATTATTACGACAATGTTTATGATGGAGAAGAAGCACAACCAAATTCAAATGCTAAAAGTACCGAAGTTGATTATTCTGAACCTTTGAATCAGGTAATTTATCCTTCAATTCAATATTATTGATTTGATAAAAAAAATTTCAGCCTCTAAGCGTCTTAGATATGCCAGTAGTACTTAACCAAGAAAACTCTTTACCAGAATTTGTAGACCAAGAATCTACAATAGATCCAGCAATTGTCTCCATAATCACTACTGAGAGTATTCTGGATGTTCAAGTTCCAATATTGTCACTTAGTAGTGAACAATTCAGCCAAACAAAAAGTTCTGAAGAAATTGGGAAAGCTGTTGTTGATGAAATTGAAAAAGCTGAGGAAATAGCAGAAAAATCTCGTAAGCATTGGCATGGTTGCATAAATTTGGTTATTTTCAAAATTGATTTTTAGGCGAAGATGGTAGAAATGAAGGCATAGAAAATATAAATGAAGAACAATGTCTAGAATGTCACAATGAAAAATCGACGAAGAAAAAACACCATCGTGAACACAAACATAAGCAAACTCATAACGGTAAAAAAAGAGAAGTTAAAATGCATCATCAAAAAGCAAAGGAAATTAAAAATGCTGCTGGAAACAAAAAGGATAATTTAAAAGATGAACATTCGGACAAGGATGCCTTGAGGTACGTTCAAAAATGCTCTTAAACCAATTTTTAATAATTTTGCTATGACAGAGATAGAAAACATTTACCAGCTTTACCGAAATACAAAAGAAAATGGCTACGTCAACATCAAAAGAAAAGAGTTGGAAGAGAAACAGACTATTATGATTTGAATAAGTATTACGATTCGCCTGATAATGCTTTCGATTTTATTCCATCCTACAATAAAAGAAAACTGAAATCTGCAGACTATGAATTTGACCCACACTTAATCCCAGATATTGGCAATCATCAAAAAGACTTTAAAAACTTAGTTGAACATCCAAAGGCAGGAAAAATTAAAATAATTCTTCCCAGGAAAAAATATAAATCAGAAAGTGATTATGAAGATGAAGAAGTCCCTATCACATCTAGTCCTTCGAAAAAAGTTCCTTCAAAGAAAACTAGGAACAGATTTGGTGTTGATCCTGGAATAACCACAGAAGACAATGATGATGACTATGACTATGCAGATTTAAGCAGTGATGCCGAGGATGGTGAAAATTGGTTACCTTTTTAAATTTTTACCTTATTTTTTAAAAAAATTTTAGAAGATGATGATATAGGCTACGAAGAAGAAGAAATTAAAGGTGCTGATAATTTAGATATCGAAGAAGCTATAGGACATAATAATAAAAATGAACATGAGGATGACAGGTTGAATTTTAATAATCAGAAGCGACTCTTGCCTGATGTAATCAATTCCGAACATACGACTATTGCAAAAAAAGTTCGAATTTATTCAGATAATTTAGGTAGGTACATATTATATTAACAGAAAAATTTACTTATTACTTGATAGGCATAAAATGGTTAAGTGGGTACCCAATATCACTTCTTCTAGTTTTCTTTCTTTGGGGTTGTTGGTATTATCAAGGAAAGGGAGAAGATGGCCCATAGCTCGCTACGAAATCAGTTTTTCGTGAATTTGTAATTTTCTTTCTATTATTTAGTATGCGACTTTAGATCTGTTCATCAATTGACTATGTTTGGTTGGTTACTGTAGTTTTTACTAAAAATTTTTTGTTGATTATTTCACTTTGATGGGGGTACATCCATTATGTTAGCTATAATTTTTGTAAAATTTTATTTAAATTACATAATTACTCGCGGTCGTACATGAACCCAAGCAACACAAAATAGTTTAATATACGTATAATTTTTGTTTATACCACAAGTATATTTATGGTTTACTATTGCCTGCGATAATAGGTTAAAATGTCCGCCTGATATAAGTCGATATGTACCATAATTATGTACCAAATATAAACGTATACAAAATATGTTTATTAGGTTATTATATAAAACGTATATGTTTATCATAGAATTTACGTTAATTCAATTGTTATGATGTACTTATAATAAATACACTCAACAAAATAGTGTAGGGAACAAGATATACTTGTCTTTAAATTTTGAGACAGAACAACTTTTTTTAAAAAGATAACATGTGGGTATTTGTTGAACAAATCTTATCAAATTTATCATATCGACTTTTTTAGCAGGCTTTGAAAAAATTTAAATTTTTTTTAAAAGTATATTTTGTTCAATTTAAAAATGTATTCAGTTGCATCTTGTTCCCTAGACTATTTTGATGTGTGTATATAGAAATTATGTTTAATAATTTACCATTTAAAACGTGTATATTTAATTCAATTGATATAATACACCAATGATAATTGTATATGTGATACGTTTAATAATCATATTATTATACGTTATAATTTGACATAATTTAAACATTGAAATATAAACTATATCATACGTTGAAAAAATGAATTTGATAAAGTTCATATTATTCTTTATCAGTAACGTTTAATTAACTGAAATAAATGGAAGAGTTCATTTATGAAACAAATAATATATTTCGAAAAATTATTACGTAGTTATTACAAAAAGTTTTTAAAAAATAAATAAAGTTCAAGCCAATCTTGGCATGCTTGTCCAATATTTTTATCTGTTATGTCTCCTGCCATGATGCCCACTTGGTCCACTCCTTGGAAGTAAATTTTTGTAGCTTCTGGAAATAATTACATATTATAAGTGAATTATTTTCCATGAGGGTCACTCATGGCCAGTGTTGCCAATGACCCGATAATTATCGAATTCTACCATAATTTTGACCACGATTCAATAATCGATAATGACAAGCTAATCTACCATAATTTATAGAAACTACAATTTTAATACACATTTTTCAAATTTTTAGTTAAAAATTAAAAATTAATTAAAAAAATTGAAGGTGGTTGTTGGTTTTGAGTGTTTTGACGTACTGGTGCGAGCACCAAACACTAGTCCCAGAGTCCCAGCTAGAAACAGCTGGGGTCGTATTTTCGAATATTCTCGCATACGAAATTTGATACGATTTCGAATGCTCCCCATTTAATTTACATTGCTGTCAATCAAATTTCGTATGCGAAATGTACTCGAGTTAATTCGAAAATACTGTCGCGGCTTTGGGTTGCCTGCTAACAAAAATCTTGGGTTCGTCGTTCGTTTCGTTTATTTCAAAAATCAAAGTCCAATTAACACAGCAATAATTTATTCCACTTAACAAAACACTCTGACACTAATTACTTTACTAACTCAACAATTAAACTCTTTACAATCACTATTTAAATCGTATCACAGTCGAACTGAAACTAACTAACTTACAAATCAATGCCAGCCTTCTTATATATCCCTAAATCTATTCCTGTAAAATCTAGAATACACACGATAATCTTATTTTCCAGATTGAAGTAGAATAATTCGCTAGATTCTAGTATCTTTGCCATCGATTCTTGACAGCCTGGCGGACGTTTAGCCTTATTGTGACACTGCCCTCCTCTTGAGGTTGATCGTCCCGATCAACTTCGCGCCCATGATATTTCGCCAATCTGTCCAGATGTACAACTTTCATCTTACTCCTGGTATTGCGTTGGACCCGATAAACCAAATCATTGATCCTCTTGATTATTTTGTAGGGTCCTTCCCATGCTGAAGACAATTTCGGCGATACTCCTTTCTTTCTAGCTGCATTATACAGCCACACCAAATCACCTTCTTGAAATCCGGCTGAATTAACTTTCAGATCGTATCTGGTCTTCATCCGGTCACTGGCTAGTTGAATATGCTCCCGAGCAAAATCATGGATACCCAGAAGTCGTGCCCTTACTTCGTCGGCATAGTCTCGAATTTCTTTTCGTTCTTCTTCAGGTATCCCAAACATCAGATCGCAAGGTAACCTGAGTTCTCTTCCAAAAACGATTCTGGCTGGACTTTCACCTGTTGACTCATGAACAGCTGCTCTGTAAGCCATTAAAAATAGATGCTTGTCCCAATCTCGCTGGTTTCTTGCGACCACTTTTGTCAGGTGTTCCTCTATGGTCTTATTGGATCGTTCTACCATGCCATCAGACTGAGGGTGTAAAGGTGTTGTCCTTGTCTTACGAATGCCCATGATCTCACAAACTTTCTTAAAGATGGCAGATTCGAAGTTTCGTCCTTGGTCTGAATGTAACTCTAGTGGCACACCATGACGACTAAAAACTTCGTCCACTAGCACCTGGGTAACAGTGATGGCTTCTTGATTGGGAATAGCGAAAACTTCTGGCCATTTACTGAAGTAATCCATGATAACTAAGATGTATTTGTCACCACGCTCTGACTCTGGGAACGGTCTAGCAACATCTATCGCTATTCTTTCAAATGGGAGACCGACGTTGTACTGTTTCATGAGCCCTCGAGATCTTAATTTAGGGCCTTTACTGGTAGCACAGATGTCGCATTTTCGGCACCAGCTTTTAACGTCTTCATGGTAGTGAACCCAATAAAAACGTTCCCGAATTTTGTCCAAAGTCTTGTTAACTCCGAAATGTGCCCCTGAAGTTCCGTCGTGTATCTCTTTTAATACATCTTCCACTCGGTCTTTTGGGATAACCAGTTGGCTCTTAGTGGATTTGCCATCGGCACTTTCCCAAACTCTTTTGAGCAAACCATTTTCTACGGCCAGAGAGTTCCACTGGGCCCACAACGCCTTGTAAATCAAGCTTTTGTTTGACACTTCCCTCCATTCTGGCCTACATTCATCATTTTCTTTAAGATGTTGAATTTGCCCGATGTCCTGGTCTGCCTCCTGATCTTCTCTCATTTGTTTGGTAGTCCATTTGTCATCGACGATCAGGCCCGTTCTTCTTACAACTGGACTAGTGTTTTTCTCATGTATATCGATTCTTTGACAATGCTTGCAATCTTCTTTACATGGCCGTCTGGACAGAGCGTCAGCATTTTTATGCAGGTTTCCAGGTCGATGTTTAATTTGGAAATCGTATTGCTGCAATTTCTCAATCCATCTAGCAAGCTGTCCTTCAGGAGTTTTCATTTCTAAAAGCCATTTTAGAGCTGCGTGATCTGTTCGAATTAGAAACTTGCGTCCATAGAGATACTTATGAAAATGGTCGACTGCTTTTACTATGGCAAGCAACTCTCTTCTGGTGACACAATAATTTCGTTCCGGCTTTGATAATGTTCTGCTGTAGTACTCCACGACATGTTCTTGTGAATTTTGGATTTGTGAAAGGACAGCTCCAACACTGGTGTTACTTGCATCTGTGTCCAAAATCAACATGCCTTTGTGATCAGGATAGGACAACACTGGGCTCGTACATAATGCTCCTTTCAATTTTCTAAATGTGGAATCGCATTCTTGGGTCCAATTGAATGTTGATTTTTCTTCTGTCAATCGATGAAGTGGAGCAGCTATATCGGCGAATCCTTCCACAAATCTTCGATAATAAGAACATAATCCTAGAAAACTCCTTAGTTCATGTTTGTCGCGTGGTTTTGGCCAGTCCCTGACAGCATCTATTTTTCCTTCCATAACTTTTATGCCCTCTTCAGATACCACGTGACCTAAGAATTCCACTTTCTTTTGAAATAGGAAACACTTATTTGGATTGAGTTTCAAGTTTGCATTCCGGAAGCGGTCAAAAACTTCTTTTAGGTTATTGAGATGTTCTTGGAACGAATTTCCCATAATCATGACATCATCCAAATATACCAGGCAAGTTCTCCATGTAAGGCCTCGCAAAACAAGCTGCATCAGTCGCTCAAACGTAGCTGGAGCATTACACAATCCGAAAGGCATTACATTAAACTGGTATAGTCCGCTTCCGGTACTGAAGGCAGTTTCTCTTTGTCATCGTCATGTATTGCCACTTGCCAGTATCCCCTTTTGAGGTCCAAGGTGGAAAACCATTTAGAGCCCGATAGAGTTGTTAGTGTATCGTCTATTCTTGGGAGAGGGAAGCTGTCCTTCTTGGTGACGTCATTAAGCTTTCGGTAGTCCACACAAAATCTAAGACTCCCATCTTTCTTCGTACCCAGTACTACTGGCGCGGACCATGGACTATTTGACTCTTCAATGACTCCGTCTTGAAGCATTTTATCAATTTGGTTTTCCACTTCCTGTTGCTTAGCTACTGGCATACGTCGTGGTGGTTGTCTAATTGGGTGTGCCAATCCAGTATCAATTTTGTGTTGAATTAAGCTGGTTCGTCCGGTTTGATTGTCCATCACAAATACGTCTGCTTCTTTCAAAATGAAATCTGTGGCTTCTTGAAGTCTATCTGGATCGAGATGTTTCCATGATTTCGCCAAAGTCTGCATCAAGGTGTCTGTATCCAATTTGGATTTCACAAAATGTCGCTTATCCGGTAGGTCACAGTTCGATATTTGCTTCACTGGTTCGAGAGCTCCAATAATGTCTCCTTCT